TATACAGAATTTACATAACAAACAAGACAAAAGAGCCTAAAGGAAAGCATGAAGAGGAGGTAAATCTCCTATTAACCTAATGTTCAAGATATCACTACCTACCCGACAACTTAATCAACTTTCTGCTGAGAGGGCATTTTTCTGCAGATTTTTCTATTCATAACAATTGTTTCAAGAGTGAGATTACATTTCTGGACTTTACACAACTAACAGTGAAGTGAAAGGCTCACCTACAATTATTTCTTCATTTCCTGTTGTCTCTTTTGGTCTTTTATTTTAAACACCTACTGATCCATCGTTAGTAATTGACACTCCTTCAATGCTACATGAGTTGCAATACTAACCAAGTCACCTAGGTCACAGACTGTTAACTATCATACTTTTAAGAAACATCAGCTATACTCAGCATGGCAGGATGACAGATAACAAAATGAAGAATTTTAGAAGTTAGAAACTTGGAAGTTATACTATAATGAAATATATTATGGGGATACTTAATAATATCATTGAAATCAGTGGTATATTTTGTACTACATTATTAATTCTCATGACTGAAAGTCATTAGTGATTAGTGTACAACTGAACCGCTTATCACTAATCTATCCATAGTCTCTCCTGAAGGACAGATCTTCTCTTCCAAGGGAATTAAGAGACAAAATACGCAAAGTACAGAGAAAATGAGTATTTTCTAAGGACAGAGAGTACATAAAAAGAACAATGCTACAAAAGATATTGATTTAATCCAGAAAAAAAAAAACATAATCTATACAGCTTTTCCTTTAGATTGTTTTTGCTTGAGAGAAAATGGGGTAAAACAATAGCACTGGTCCATACCATACAACCAGCAAACAAGGCGGCATTCTACCACTCCACAATTACCACTGTGGATTATAACTCAACTCACAATGTTCATAAAAAGTCAAATCCAGCAGATGGTCAATTACTCAATACTAATCTATATCTGCACAAACCAAATCTGCGTAGTCTACAAAATCTAAGAATACCTCAATTATGACATAAATGAGATTGTCTTTAAATCTTTCCTTGCCCATTGAATGATTGGGTAATTCATCACACTAAACTACTACTTTAGTCAATACAGTTTTAAATTATGCATCTGCTACATATTAGGCTCATCAAGGTAATGAATAGTTAAATAATAGGAAAACATCCCTGTCAATAGGAGCTCATTATTTGTTAAACACATACAAAAGTAAAGCAAAATTGAGTAGCTAAAATGTTAGGCAATAAAGCATGTTATAAATTAATTAAATGGTGGAGGTTCAGAAAGGTCGAGAAAAAATTCTGTATTTCTCATTTCTAATCTACTAGTTCAGGAATGATAATATACAGATACTTTCAGGAAATAGTCCAGACTCAACTGGGAAAGATCATCTTCCCTGATTTATATCTTCTTAAGTTTAGTAATGTCATTAATATTCATGATACTCTTGTACTAGCATTTAAAATGTATACACAGCAAACGTTAGCCTTCCTCGTATTGTGCTTTCCTTCAAAATTTTACTTGCTGTCCTTAATATCCTGTGTCTTTCTGGATTTTTACATAACATCATACTTTTTAAATTCATTTTGCACTTGCTGATGATTGGTTTGTCATTCTGTTTCACTTGGTTCCTCACCCACTCCTTTCTTAACATTTTTTTTAACATCTCCCTTAAGCAATATCTCTGGAACTAGTAAGCTACCTTGCCTTAATGAGACACTTTACCATGGTCAATGGATGCAGAAGTTAGAGAAAATGCAAGTGGGAACTCAAAAGACAAAGTTGTCAGGAGATGTAAAGGAAGAAAAACAGTTCTATGCTGTATATATATAATGTGGATATCAAAGTCCAAAATTCCATTTTAATCTAATTCATGCAATTAACTCACAAGTTACCAGCATACGCTTCTGCCAGGCTGATACTGGTTATGCCATTAGAGGGGAAATTATCAAGTCAGACACATGTTATGTTTGAACTTACCTATATTATTAAACATATTGTCTTCTTGCCATACAGCACTTTTAATTACAAATTAGTGACAGGATCTTTAATTACAATTTTATCTTTTCCTTTCAGTTTCATGCCATATTTATCTATTACTCCATTCCTTTCAAAACTCAGTATTTATTTCCTTTCAGAGATAACACATCTTTGGATTTTACTTAGTGATTCTAACTATTCTTGACAACAACATCCTTAAATGATCTCCCTCATTTATTCAGTGTGTACATGCTTGAGTATCCAAAGCAAACTTTTCAGGTGAATATATTCCTTCTCCCAACAAAATCCATCTCTACATCTCCTTTCCCACAGTCATAAGTAATATCTCAACCCCCAATTTCTGGCAAGTCACAGAGTTCTACCTTAACAATCAAAATATTAACTCACTGGTTTATTTTAATATAAAAATCAGATCTCCTTCTTATGTTCCATTCTGAAAAGCCCAACCTTCACTATCATAGTAAATAATAATACCATTCATTTAGTTGCTGAGGTCTTGCTCATAACAGTTCTACTAAACCCTCTTCTTAACAAATCTGGTACCACTCAATAGTTCAGCAAATAGAACTGACAATACTTTCAAAGTACACCCTGTCAGTGCTTCTCAACACCCCTATGTCAATCAGCATAAAACACCTTTCATATGACTAACAAAATTATTCTGAGATGTGCCTTCTTACTTCTGCTTCGTTATCTTCTCAGTATTTTATCCAGACATTACCTACATATCTTTAAGCTCTAAAACTTTCTAGAATACATAAAATTCAAGAAAATTTAAGTATTAGAAATTTAGAAATTTGAAAAACCAAATTAGGCGGAACATTGAGTAGATCACTGAATGGACAACAATTCATGCCAACTACTAACAGAAAAAATTCTACTTTGGAAAAAGCTGATTAGAGCTATAGGATTAAAGTCATTATCTGGATATGTTTAGAAGGTAAAGGACATGTCAACATTAGAATTTGATTTTCTCTTAGAAATGTCAAAATATGGCTACAATAATTTATATAGCTCCATATATTGAATTAGGTAGAATGATGTGGCATAGACTATTTAAAAGTATCAAATACTGAGGGAGTATCTTTAACGAATGGTATGGTTTGACCTTGGAATTAATGTCCTGTCTTAATTAAACTAATTACCAGGAAAACCATAGTTCTACATTTTTGTACAAAGGGTTTACCAAAGAAAGTTAAACAAAGAGATAAAGGAAGACTTAGAAGACCACAGTCTACATTAAGTTTTTCCTTGGTCTACCCAATTCTGTTCTCACTGGGAGGAATATTCTCCCCCGTGGAGAAATTCCACAGTCATTACTGGTCTTCTATGTAGTGGGAAGTGGGTGTGTTAGAGTCATCATGTATTAACTCTTACTTGTATACATACTTCAAAGATTGAGGCCGTATTTCTCTTTATTCATGGAAAAGACCGAGTTATATTTACCTATGCTTATTTCTCTAGGGTAAAGGGATATGGACTACATTTCATTTGAAAATAGAGAAAGCTTGAGTTCTTCTTTGGAAACACTCTACATTTTTTCCTATACCCAAAAGTGCTTGCAGCACAGGTCACACACAACATGCTTAAGTACTCAATATTCACTTTGTACTTACTCAACAGAGTAAGATTAAAGTTAAGACATATAGAGAATGAAATATTCAGATAACTTGAGTCAAAACCTTAATTCATATGCAGGTTTACCCACCAGGTCTCTGGTGAATACTCTCACAGCCCCCACAACCCTCACCCTGGACATCTGGCTTATACCCAATATCTTATATGCATAAATAAAAAAATAAATCTTTTTTAAAAATCTAAAGCTATTCATGACATAGCTTTAAAATGCCAGAAAATGCTATTTTTTAAACACCTTTCAAAATAACTAGTCATTGCTTTTCTGCATACAATATCATCCATAGCAAATAAAGAAAAATGATAGTTGCATGCAATATAGGATCGCTTTCTCAGCCCTGATTAAGGAGAGAAATTGTTCTAAAGAACATTATAATAATAGCTGGTAAAATTTATTCTATATTAATACATAAGTACTATTGATAAACTTAGTGATCTTGAAAGCTACAAAAGTTAATGTAATAGGATGCAACTTTCACTCTTAGAAAGTAAATCCTGAGAGAGACCTAATATTTTGAGAATATTTAGACAAAGTATATCGGGAATAGGGAAATAATATTTAGCAACCTACAAATAATTCATAACCTCAGACAATATAGGAGGGAAGAGAGAGAGAGCTGGAGAGATAGAGATATAGAGAAATAAAGAGCATGAGAGAAACAAATAGAAAGTAATGAAAGGAGGAAAAGTAAGAAAAGGAGAACATAACTAAGAAACTATATGGGTGAAAAGTATGTGGGGGTTCTCTATAAAGTGCTTGAGACTCTAAATTTCAAAAATAAAAAGTACAAAAAGAAAAACTGGTATAAACTATACTTAGGAAGGCTATAAACCTCCAAAAAACACTCAACTTAGAAAAAGTTAACAATTGCTGCCTCTAACAATCATCTGATTCCTGTGATTAGAGGAAACATGAACAATCATGTTGCTGATATAGTCCATTTCATTTTGGCCTTTTAAAACTCTGGAACATTACTGTTTAAACTAGACTTAAGTTAAAAAACACTTTTCACTTAAGAGTGAGATTAGCTAAAAGAGTAAGATTGACTACTATCCATTATGTACCAGTTTTATGACTATCACACCACTGTTATTTGTTAAACTATAAATGTTTCAAGGACAATTTCACAATATTTACGGCAATCAAAACTATTACGTGAAACTGATAATCCAACAACACCATATCTAGAAATCTACCTTATATAACTATGAGTCCAAGTTCATTAACAGATGTAATTATAAACATTAAAACATTATATGTAATAGTAAAAGTAAACAGTTAACCTGTGTTTTCTAAAATAGAAACATAAACCCCATACTATACACAATTTACTACAATGAAAAGTCTGTAAGTAAGCTATATTTATTGATTTGGAAATAGATCCACAATATAGAAAAACAAAGCAGCAAAACAATATATCCAAAATGATCACATACTTGCAAAATAAATCCCATTAAACTTAAACAAGCTTGGAAAGTTGTTGACTACTGTGTCACAAATGACATAGTCCCCTCAGAAGAATGGAAAATGGAGGATGAATGACCACAGTTTGCTTGCAATTATTTAATAACCCACTCATTCTTAGTGGTCCCACTTCAATGTACTAAGTGTCCAGTCTGTCTACTGATCCAGGTTGGGCAACGCAATTTGTGGTTTCCTACAGTTTATGCTCTATAAGTAGACAATTAAAAATTACAATGATCAAAGTCACCTACATTAAGCCCAGTAAGGTTAAACAAAAAACAAACGAAAATCAAAGTAATGTGGATACAAGTAAATGTCTTTGGTACCTTTAGTCTTTTTATCCCGTTCCAAACAAGCAAATCACAGTGATACCAAGGAAATGACAAAGCCCTAAGTTATACAAGATGACAACATCATAGTTCAAAATGTCAATGCAAGTCTGGCTCTCCTTTATACACTAGAGCTGGGATGACATCAAGTCTTTCATTAAAAATTAGGGAAAAGAACATCTAGAGTCAAACTCATATACTATCCCAGACTGAGGCCAACTACAGGTCTTAATGAGCTTAATAAAAAAAAAGCTACAGTTGACCTTATTTAGAACTCTAAAATCTGCATAGTCACACTCATGATTCAAGTGAGGAACAAAGTATCTTACAAATGGCACAAAACTGCCACAAGGGGCAGACTTAGCTTGAGAGAAAGTCTGCTTATTATCTGGGTAAGACCAAGCTGTCCATAGGGTTGCACTCATTATGTTTATCACACATAAATTTCACTCCCATTTGGAAAGTAATCATGGGCCTTAAAAAATGCAATGAGGAAAATACAACAATACAGTAAAGCACAAGATATGTTTAGAACACAGAGAAGTACTCAACATCCCAGGCAACTACTTGCCAAAAATCACGTTTCTTCTATTCCTGGGGATAGATATGAACAATCTGTATCCTTTAAGCGACACAAAGACATGATAAGCTTCCAGAAAGTTGAAACAATGAGAACATTTAGTGATGCAACCACTGTAGAAGGTTGTCTACGATCCTCTTGTCCACTAGGTCACCATCTGGGAGAACAGGGGGAGAGATTGCAAGTGAAAAATAAAAAAAAAAAAAAAAAACAGGTTATCACATAACAATTCCTTGTAACAGATGGATAATATCTTCCAGACAAGCATTTCAATGGTATTCCATAGGAAACAACTCGTATGATCCTAATGCTAACAAACTCAAGCTACAAAATCCAAGCATACGTACTATACAAAAATGGTGACATAATGTTCCTTCTTTGGCCAATTCACTGTGATTTGAATTCCCATCTTCTATTCTAACTTAATTTTCAAGACAGTCAACCATATTTTTACTCTTTGGACAACCATTTTCTCTGTAATTTCTTACTTTTAATTTGCATACTAGCACAGGGTTAAAAAAAATCAAATAAAGTAACACAATGTAAGATGTACTCTGTAAAATCCATGGTATGTCATTACAGTCTTTCCTAACAGGAAAACTGTTATCACAATATTCACATAGTGACTCTCCTTGATTTCTTAAAGGTTTCTTGAGGGGGACCTCCCTGGGGACACAATGGGTCAAAGCACAACACTATGAAGCAATCCACAACAACTGCAACATGAGTTCAATATTCTGCCAAAGGGTGACCCACACAGCTTAGCAGACTTCTCCTGAACCGCCCACTGATCCCTTCAATAGTGTATTTCAGTCAATTCTCCTGTTCTGATCCCAGTCTGAATCTGGTAAATTCTAAACCCCTGTACTTCTGGCCATACAACCCAGTTCTTGTATAATAAATAAATAAACCTTTAAATAAATAAATCTTTAAAAATGTTTCTTTAGGAAACTCTAAATGGTAAAAAAAAAAAACAACAACTACTTTGTATTTCTATTTTGTGATTTCAATAATTCCACAAACAAGTAAACTTTTTTACTTATTCCATAAATAAGTAAACTCTAACATTCTCTGAATCTTTCCCTGGTGATACAATAGGTTAAAGCATAGCACTATGAATCTATCTGCAGCCACTGCAGCATGAGTTCGACTCCTGGCCAGGGAGCTGACTGACATGACACAGCAGACCTCTCCTGACCCACCCTATGCTGCCCTCAGCAGTGTATTTCAGTCAATCTGCCTGCTCTGCTCATTCAATCTCCCATTCTGTCTCTGGTAAATCCTCTCACTCCCCCTGTTTGGTCTGTACCCTAGTTCTTGTATGCCTAAATAAATAACAGTCTGGGTTATACTATACATACAAAATGATTACATAGGCAACAAAGTAGGATTGGTGAAAACCAATGGTGGTGTGAACTCAAGCAGGAATCTACTACAAAATCAAAATAGACAAAACAGTAACTTGAAAAGAATATAGACCTTAATATCCTTACCTGCAGTCAATATCTCTTTGGTTCATGCTATAAAAGATATTTTATAAGGAAAAAAAGGAAAAGGGAAAAAAAGATTGAAAATATTTTAAGATTCTTCATCCATTCATTAATTGAAAGCATAGTGAAACCTACTTGCATCATTAATGAGACTATTCCTCATCTTCCCAACATTACCTACTGACTGATATTAGTAGTACCTTCACCCATTAACCTAGAAATAAAATTCAACCTATTGATGCAATCATACACCATGTAACCTGACGCAATTCTACTTTTTAATGATTGCCCATACTTTTTGATATCCTTTTATCTATGTCATCCTCCTTAAATACAAAACATCTAACATTAAACTGAAATTAAATATACTGAACTCATAAAGATTATAGCCCCTATCTACATAAAATCTCATTATGTTTTAAGAAGTAAAAATAGTCCCTCCCGGGTTTTGCAAGGGGTTAAGTCTCATCACTAGGAAGCTATCAGTAGCCACTACAGAACAAGTTAGATCCCCAGCCAGGGAGTTGGCCCACATGGTGCAGGAGACCTCTCCAGCTTTGCCTACCACTCCCCTCAGCAGTGTGTTTCAGGAGATCCACCTGCCTCACTCCACACTCTGTCTCTGGTGAACCTTTAACCCTCTGTTCCTCTGGCCAACATCCCAGCTTTGTATGCATAAAACAAATGAGTAATAACAATAAATCATAAAAATATATGAGTAGTATAAAAAATCCCTATAATCTATGTATCAACATGGAATGAAATTAATAATATTTACATCTATTCATTTGCATCCAATTATCAAATACTCCATCACTGGAATTTTATGTTTCATAGAATTTTGATAGAACTTTAGGTTTTCAAATTCTAGAAATTCTACCACACATCAAATTATAAATATATAAGTAATACATCTGTGTTACTTATTCTTACCAGCACTTCTGAAGAATGAAGACCACCAAAATAACAACTTTAAGAATTTGGGTTGATATAGGTAAGTCATGTAGAAAGCTTCTAAAAGGTCTCACTTCTTAAATTGGTAAACTGCTCAGGTAAAACTGCAGGAAATATGGGAAAATTGTAGTATATATAATGACCAACATAAAATACAGATGGTAAAGTCATTTTTAATCAACCCCCTAAAAATTAGCAAATCATAAAAAATCACTTGAAAATCACAAAGACTACATCTTTGCACTGTGGTAAGCTTTTTGTTTTAGAATATTTGAGAATCCAATACCTGAGAACTCAAACACTCCACCTTCCTAATTTTATAAATAACAAATTAGCTTATCAAGTTATTAGCTTCAGCCCTCAACAATACACCTATGTTCTCATTTGACTTTACATAGGTAATTTCATTGTAGCGTCTTTTTCCAATGATTTAATTTCTGCAACAAGGTACCTAGCTAGTACCTGCAACAAGGTAACCTCCCAAGGGGTTAAAGTGCAGCACTATGAAGATCTTTGCTGCCACACTGGCACTAGTAGTTCCATCCCCAGCCAGGGAGCTACACTCAAGGCACAGTAGACCTCTCTTATCTTGCCTACTACTCCCCTCAGCAGTATACTTCACTGCAGTGTATTTGCCTGTTCTGCTCCCCAATCTGTCTCTAGCGAATCCTCATTGCACCTGTACCTCTGGCCTGTACCCCAGTTCTGTATTCATAAATAAATAAATCTTAAAAAAATAAAGAAGTCTACGTTTTTGAGGCATAACTAACATTAACAGTTAGTTAATTAACATTAGTTAGTTAATTAACAGTTAATTAACATTAACAGTTATTTTTTACCTTGAATAAAAACTTTCAAGGTCTACTTTTTTTTACAACATTCAAATAATAAATAACTATCATACTACATTACACCATTCTACATTACACCATTCTACATTACAATCGCTAAGGCATTTCTAGAGTCTAACTCTTGACAACCTTTATCAATTTTGCAGCCTCCCTACTTTTTCCAACCCTGTCAGTCACCAAGCTGTTCTATTTATGTGCTTGGTTATTTTATTTATTCCTTGTTTAGAGAGTCCACATACAATTGGAAATATCTGTGTCTGTTTTGGTAGGGCTTGTTTCTGAAAATCAAACATTATGGTAAGTATCAGTAGATCAATTATTTTTATAGTTTAACAGAGGAAGTGAAAAAATTTGTCCATTCAACATTGGGGACATTTATTTACAGTTTTTGATCATTATGAGAAAATTTCCCCAAGTCTTTAGTCCATATATTTTCATTTCTTGTGTGTACAGGCTTTAGAAGTCCATAAACTGCTAATGAAAGCATATGTGATTTTGTTTTCAACTTTTTCCTAAATTCCTTTATTTTAAAATTTTAATCTTTAGATCTTGTTGGTTTAGGAGATAGAGAGGGGAACACTGCTTTACTGTTAACACAAATAGCCTGTTCTGTAGTTGGCAAGAGGAAGTAATCACGTATATCTTTAGTGCATTCCTACAGTCCCTTCAAGAAACAAATATGTCTACATTGTCCTACGATGACAGTCAACAGACAAGGCTCTACCCACACAAAATGAGTTACATGAGGCTAATTACAATGTTCTGCTAATGTCTTGTGCTTATCATTAAACCTAAAAACCTTGATGAAAACAGTGGCTCTCAGTGAAAACAATAGAAATACGGATATTTTCCTAGTTATTATTTTTTAAATAATGTTTATTTTTATCCTTAACTATTAAACAATTTATTATTTGTTTTCACATCACTGTGCTGATCATTAACAGCCTATCCATTTCATGTTCATTTGGCTGTTATTCCTAAAATAAATTTAACCAACACATCCATCTTTCCATTCTTTCGTCGTAACTCGAACTCCATGTAAACTTACATTATGGGGAAATTTCATTCTCTACTCTTGCAACTTTTCTTCCATCAATCCATTATTACAACCATATCTTATACTAATAATTCAACACTCATTTTATGTATTCATTTGACAATCCTTAAACATTTCTATCTATATTACTCAGTTTGAAGTCACAACTTGAAAATGTCACAATGAAAAGACCTCTGTAGGTTGGGTCTACTGCCATTTCAGAGTAGCTTTGCTTATTATTCCAAGCTCTCCCCCCTGAGGCACCGCTGCTGTAACATGTGGTTCTGTAATCACTATGATGATTATATATAAGATGAAATATATAAGAAAATTACATAGAGGCTACTGGTCTTCTAACCAAGATTTATGTCAGACAATATTTTTTCGTAAGTTATGCTACCAAATGAATTAATTCTTGTCATTGCTTGGCACTCAAAATGTCCTTTAGACAAATTATTTCTAAGGAGGCTCATCAGTTCCTTTAGAGGATAATCTCAATATTGGCCTTAAAGTTTTAATCAAGGTGAGTCTCCCTGGAGGCACAGGGGTTAAAGACAATGCTCTCAAGTTATTTCCAGCCAATGCAGTATGAGCTGGATCCCCAGCCAGGGAGCTGACCAATATGCCTGAGAAGACCACTCTGTCTAGCCCATTGTTCCCCTTAGCAATTTATTTCAGAATGTCTACCTGTTCTGCAACCTACTCTGTAGTGAATCCTCTTATCCATTGCACCTCTGGCCTTCACACCAGTTCTTGTAAGCATAAATAAATATATCTTTTTAAAAATTTAATCACAGTAATGATAATGGTGAGTGGGCCAAGCTAGAGACAGGGAAAACTGATAAGTGAACATCTCCCACATTCTCCAACCTACCACCACTCCCAATCATCGCCCCAGCAAAGACAAAGGGAACTCAATAATTCTCTCTGGTATTTTTAATTCTATATAATAATTATTGTTTCATATTACACACCTCAAAAATTGGAGTTTTCATGATTTCCTTGCCCTTGTTCCAAAGTGTACAGAGGGATGAGCTGAAGATAACTGGGTCAAAAGATCCAGTTTAGGCCCTCCCTGGTGGCGCAGCGGGTTAAAAGCGCAGCACTGAGAATCTGAAGCCACTTCCGCATGAGTTCGATTCCCGTCTGCCCCGGAGGAGACCACATGGCGAGCCAGACCTCTCCTGACCCGCCCGCTGCTCCCCTCAGCAGTGTACTTCGTCGATCTGCCTGTTCTGCTCCTCACTCTCTCTCTGGTGAAGCCTCTTGCCACCCCTGAGCCTCTGGCCTGTACCCCAGTTCTGTACGCACAAATAAATAAATAAATCTTTAAAAAAAAAAAAAAGATCCAGTTTAGTTGATCAACTAAACAGATGAATACAAATCTCCTCCTCACTCCAGGGCATAATTGAGAGATATTGTACTTTAAGTTTGTTTAGGCATTTATTGTTCTGACCAGGAATGGGGAAAAAATGAACTGTGTAATTTTAAAGTAAAGACCATATTCATGGTCACAGAGGTGTTACTTATACCTCCTTTCCACTCTCCTTTTGAAAACATCAAGAAAGAGCTATACTCTGATTGCAGGTGTCCATTTCATTTTGTTTTACCCAAAATCACTTCTAGAAAAAAGTATCATTTCAGTTATTGTGTGCTATCCCAAGTTACTTTCCCCCAAAATAAAACTGATGGTTAATGGGAATAGTCTGAGGCATTTCCGTCTTCTGACATTCCCCCTAAGTCCTGCCACAGCACAAGACTCCAAATTACGCTGTTGGATTAAAGCCATGTGAAATGCATCCATATAATTTGAAGTCATAGATGACTAGGAATTAGCCTGTCCTGAATCAACCCATCCACACATTTTTAGACATTTCCACGAGCTTCATCTATACTTTTATCCATTAGTTGATGTGCTTATTTTGCATTCTCAGGAAGTCAAGATATTTAAAAATTTAACTTCCCATTGGTCACAACACTGTAAAGAGATGTGATTCAACAGTTTCTGATCCACCTTCCCATTCCACTCTTGTATCTACACACACACATGCACACACAAACATGGAAATACACTTATATATAGGCAAATATACCATCCCTGAATTTTAAATATTTCATTAATTACATTTAGAAAGCACATTTAGATCCATAAATTGACCACAGTTCTCATAATCTCATCTTGATTCTACCTATCTTCCAATCATGACACCACTCTATGTATCCATTCATCTATTATTTACCCATTCTGGCATTTATCCAATCATCTAATGAAGCAATCTTATGCAACAACTGATCACATATACATCAAGTAGTGGCAGAGTTAGAGATCTGAACAGCTAACAGTTCTAAGTTCTAAATTACTCACTTCCAACTTCAAAAAACAAGTATAACATTTGACTCTAAGTCTTTTACATAGAATCTTTATACTTCATGTAGCATACTTCTAGTATGAATTGTCAATACTTACATATTATTCAAGTGCTCTCAAATCATTGACATGAAAAGCGCATACAAGCTCAGGATTTATTTTGGAAACTGCTATCACTCTGCCAGCAAAAGCTGCTCTATTCATTACTTCCAATATCAACAAATACACACAACTTTTCCAGGAGTATCTACTTTGTTAGAGGGTACTGACAAAACCACTAGTTTAATGAGTATCTACTCACCCCAAATTTAGCTTTTAATTTATAGTTTAAATATTAAACAAACTTTTTGTTTATGTCCTGTTTCATTACATTACCCAATGTCCTGCTTGACAAATTTCTACTGAAATTCGTAAAATATTTTGGCTTTCACTAAGGCAATCATCAAATACCATTTAGCTACAATCACTTCCTACCTACTACTTCTGCATAGTTCCATTAATATCACCAAAATTATTCCATAAACATATTAATCCCATATAAGTTTGCATATTACTGGAAGATGTATTCTGAATTTGCCATATTTTTACTACCTGCTAAATTTGTATCCATTAAAGTTTTACATATACACAGAAAATGACATATAAGATTCACCAAAGCTTGGTGAAAGAATGTTAAACTTATAGCCTTTTGCTACTCTGATACTTGAATAGTTCATAGTATCTTGTTTTTATTTTCAATTAAGAGAATTCAATGATTAGAGATTTCACCCTTTTTAATTGATACTACAAATACCTTTGCAAACTATATTTTGTTTTTACTTTGTCTATAATGTTTTAGAACTGAGATGATCACAATAAATTTTTCTTGACTCCCAATTTAAAGAGAAACCTACATTTTTTAATAACTATTTTCTTCATATTTAAACTTGACTCATAATAAAATTATTCAGGCTGAATGACTAAAGAAAGGATCAAAATTTTCCTCTCTCCATTTGGTTAACAATTCTCTCTTCCCCCAGATTTCAGATTAATGTATTACATTTTCCATTTTCTAATACACCTGTAAACGTGTGAATTTCTATGCTATTACAATACTATGTCAATAAATGTTTCTAATTACATACAAAAGCTTTTAATCTGGGATCACTCATTGTCTGATCTACTATTCCTATTCTATGCCAGATGTTCCTTTATCAAATAAACTTATCAAACTGGGTGGCTAAAAATATTCTCCAAAATTTGAAATAATAAATTGATTCATAAATGAATTTAAGATATTGAATCTTAAGCTGTCAAAAACAATTTTTAAAGCTCAACAAAGAATTGCTAAATTGTACAATCTTTTGCAACAACGGCCATTATGTAAAGATGCACAAAACGACAGATACGGCAATTTATTTTCCACCTAAAAACCTGAATTGTACAAAGGTAATAGGCTGGAATTTCTGTGCATTCTTATACACATATGCTAATCCAGAAAGGCTGAGCCTTCTAGAAACAGCATCAGGCTATATAGTGAAGCAGTCTAACATCTTACATAAATACTTTTAAAAATCTGGCTACAGCCCTCCCTGGTGGTGCAGTAGGTTAAAGTACAGCACTAAGAAGCTTAAGCCACTTCAGCATGAGTTTGATCCCAGCTCTGAAGGTGATCCACATGGGGAAGCAGATCTCTCTGGACCTGACCAATGCTCCCCTCAGCAGTGTTTTTTGCTAGTTCTGCTCCCCATTCTCTCTGGTGAATCCTTTCATTGCCCCTGCACCTCTGGCCTTTAGCCCAGTTCTGAGTGCATTAATGAATGAACCTATTAAAAAATGTAGCTTAGCTGATCATCCAATGAGTGGTGGGTAAGTGAATGGGGGATAATAAAAAATGCATTGTTGGCCCACCCTAGTGATGTAGTACTGTGAAGCTGGCTGGGCTACTTCAGTTCAAGGTCAAGGCCCCACAACCAAATGAGGTTATCCACATAGTGTAACACATATCTCTAAACCAGTCCACTGTTCTCATCAGTATACTTCGTCAATCTTCCTGTTCTGCTCCCACTCTGACTCTGGTGAATCCTCTTACTGCCCCTAAATCTTTAAAAAAATATTTATACACACAGAACTGGGGTACAGGGGAGAGGCAGAGGTGTGGTGAGACAATTAACCACAGACACAGTGGGGAACAGAACAGGCAGACTGAGGAAGCACACCACGGAGGGGAGCAGCAGGTGGGCCTGGAGGGGAGCAGCAGGTGGGCCTGGAGAGGTCTGCTGCAGCATGTGAGTCACTTGTGGGGCAGGGATGGAACTCTTGCTGAAGTATATTCAGCCTCTTATAGTGCTGTGTTTTATCCTAATGTTCCCACTAGGGAGGGCCCATAAATCTTTTTTAAAAAGGCAATTATCACTGAAATTTAATGGAATTGTTCCATTAAAAAATGGACCCAAAGAATACATTCCTTATTCATAGCATCAGCTTTCACTGTTCCCTTAATATCAAAGTCACCTTTCATTGAAATTGTTAAGAAACACAAACTATTTCCTGCACTGTCCTCCAGCTCAATTCTTTCCAACATATTCTATCCATGAAATCACAGTAATAAAGGAGTCAAATTTCAGAGGAAAATAAAACATGTAAGACATGGCACAAGATAACACTAAATGTTCATCATATGAGATTAACTGACTTTTACGAACCTAAAACAAACATAAAAGGCAGTATGTCACGCAAAGCTAAAATGACCTTTGAAACACTTATAAGTGTCCTATGCTGAAATTCATGTTACCCCAATGACAAAATCCATAAGGACATAAATACTGAATAATTTACTCCAATATCCTTAAGTACTGATTTTTATAAAACAATTCAAAAATTAAATGGCATTAGTCAGTAAACAAATTAATTCCTTTATTTGCTTATCCTTTAAGCTCCATTTTTCATTTTCTAATGCATTCTCTTATTAGTACAATGAGATACATCAAATATTAGGTAGTATGTGAATAACTTGCTAATACTACTATTACTGGAATTACTAGGAGTTCTAAATTTGCTCAGGAAAATAAGTCCTATGATGTGCCAAGATTCCTTCTTGGCTGTCTCTGTGTAATGTATCAGTTCAAAAATTTGCTCTATCTTCACTATATTCATGAGGAAACTGACATCTATAAATGGAGCAAAAGGAATGCAGTAGATTTAAAAAGTTTTGGGTACACCAAGAATGATCAACTGTAATACATAAAGGTTTCTATTAAAACTATCATTAAATTTTGAAGAAATCCTCAATAAAGTGAAGGAAAGCCTCACATAAGACTGCTATGCAAACAAATTCTAAAGTAACAGAATCAGTACTAACAATTAAAAGAACACTTTCCGCTTCTATGTATTCTATAATTACCTATGAATTATCAAAGACGAAAACCATCATTTTGGAATTTAACTGAAATGCCATTTGAAAGCATAGAAAAATGATGCTTGCATTTCATTAGGAAAATAATGTGGGTGTACCATATCCATCATTAACAGAACTGTGAAATGTCTGCAAATGAATAATGCCAGTAGTCACGAAATAATTAGATTAAAATAAAGAAACATACCTTGAAATGTGATAAGAAGGCTCAATGTTAAAGATATCTATTCTCTCCTAATTAATCTATTAAAATTTGGTGCAATTAAAATTAAAACTGCATATTTTCCAACTTGCAAAATAACGTTTAGCCCCAACAGATAGGAAAAATGTGAGCATAGACAGGGAATATTCTGAAAAAGAGAAATGAGATTAATCTCAACGCAATAGATCAAATAAAAAAAAAATCACCAGTACTTTTACTTTATCAATAGAAAACAGAAATAAAATTCAGCTAGTTATGTGTGGTGATTTCTGTGATTATGGCAGAACTTGAAATAAGTGGTAGTGACAAACCAAAGTGACTAATTTGAATACATGATGCTTTAAACCATTTTAATGATTAATGGAAACAAGATGACAAAATGGGTAAAAAGCAGAATAAATGAAGACAAAGCATGATTTAAAAAAAACAAAAAACCACAAAACACAAAAAGCATACACCAGAACATGATTATATTTCAAAATACAACTTCTGTACAACAACAATAGCATAGTAAAATATGGGCAACAAAACATGGTATTCATTCGCAGTGTATGACAAATTATTAAAATACTAGCCATAAATGTATGCTTTGAAACAAGTAATAGAGACTGATACTCTGAGATGAAAACAAAGTAACAAAAGAGACTATTAAGGATGACAGGTATATGAAGCCAATTAAGCTTAAGAATAACAAAAATGTAATTTCCTTGTAATTAATATTGCCTAACATTAGAAGCATTGATATTTGAACAATTTTATTATAAAAAAAAGAAACAAAATTTATGAGTACTACTGACTAAAAATATAATTGTAATATATTCCCAAGTTCCCACTAAATTACAATTATTTCTAAGTACGCTGAATTCTTGAAAAAGATGACGTCTAAATAATCTTAAAATCACCCTATGCTAATATATAGTCTTAGTGGGAGCACTGAATGGAATTCTTGCAGTTACACCATCTTGAATGTCTCAGCCATTCAGATTCCTGAGAGTTTAGTCCACTGGAAACAGTGAAAACAGTCAACATGCCTGGTAACAATTCTCTCCAATGACATCCATCAGGTAACATTCAAACATAAACAGTCTCAGTTCAGCTTTCTTATTTGCACACAGTGTCCAATGTAACATATGAAAAGGGAGATTCTGGACATGATGAAGATCATCTTTTGGTTTTGGTGAATGTGCTGCAATGACATCATATTTCTATTCAGTTATCACCTGAGGAGACATAGCAGGGAAAAGTGAATTAAGGATGGAAGTATATGACATGCAATCCCTAAAAGCAACTAAAATAGATTGATGTACAATGAAATGCATCTGCTATTCTATTATGAAAAGAAAAAAAAAAAAACATGTGCAATATAATACCTTTTGGAATCTTCTAACAGTAAGAAAGTCAGATTTTGGTAATCTTTAGCACTAAGAATCTGTTTTCTGGCCTCCCTGGGGGTACAAAATGTCAAGTCTTAGCACTACAAAGCTACGTACAGTCATTAAAGCATGCGATAGTCAAAGAGCTAACCCAGGTGACAAAAGAGACCTCTAATATTCCATACTACTACCCTGAGAGTATGTTTTAGTCAAACCTCCTGTTCTGCTACCCACATGTCTCTGGTGAATCCTCTCATCCTGCCCACCAGTATTTCGATGTATAAATAGAACATATTATTTTTTAAAAACAAAAGAGACTGTTCTCCAACATTTTTGTGGCATTATCTATGTCTCTTTTCAATTATGTAGCTAGCTGCATCCTGTAACACCCTTTCATTATAAACAATTATTTTATTCAATCTACATGCAGCTGTGCTCAAGAAACATGACATGCCTAACTTAAATGAAAATAGAGCTAACTTGATGAAATAAATACTAACTGTACTTAATGCTATAAGAGAACTTGAAAAATCTTTCACTTCTTGTGGAACCTCCAGACCCCTCTGTTCTTGGTACTCTGTTTGGTGCCCAAAGTTGCTGATGGTTAAGCAAATGTAGAATCAGGGGGGAGCCTCTCACCAAGACCAAAGTGTTGGTATGAGGAAATCTGCTGAAAATAGTAGGGAGACTTTACTGTAAGATTAGCATAACCAGCAAGACCACCTTGACAGGAAGTTGTAGGTAATCAGGGATAAGCATCAACAATGGAACCAACCCCAGGCAAAAGCAGATCCTAATCACTGTCGCCACACTTATGTTATACTATTCTGCATTCCCGGTCCCCATCCTCAAAATCATTAACCCCCAACACATTCCTCCATGGACTAGCCCACCTCCGTACCCTGCCCCTCCCCAAAATGGAACTGGAAATAAATGTGAGTCTTTTCCTGGGGAAAAGTCTTGCCTTGGGGAAAGGTACTGTATTTCCATACATAGCCCCTCTAGGCCTTTCTTTTTCTCACTACTTGGACTCTACATATTTTTTCTTTATCTTGTGTTGCTCCTAAGACTGCCACCCAGTAATGTGACAACTTCTTACCTATGATTCCATTTGGACCTTAAATTTGCTCAAGTAGGTATTTTCCAGGAAGTCTTCTCTTGAGATTTACCCTACATGGGGGGAAAAGGTACTTACTAAAACTGTCATTTCATTATTTAATTAACATTTGAAAATAAGACCTTGAAAATGAAAATTAAAAGATTTTGTGAATGCAGTATATAGGCAGTGCATATAAGGAAGGAATGTTGCAAAGGTACATAGCAGGAAAACAAGAGAAAATGGGAATCACACAATTTAATGAAAGTGGTGCTTTCATTAAAAAAATGCCCCTCTCTTGGCCCTCCCTGGTGGCCCAGTGGGTTAAATCAAAGCACAAAGATGCTTAAGCCACTTCCACATGAGTTCGATTCCCCCCTGCCCTGGAGGAGATCCACATGGCAAGGCAGACCTCTCCTGAACCGACATCTGCTCCCCTCAGCAGTGTACTTTGTTGATCTGCCTGTTCTGTATAACACGTTCTGCCTCTGGTGAATCCTCTCACCCTCCCCATCTCTGGCCTGTACCCCAGTTCTGTACGAATAAATAAATAAATCTTTAAAAAATATATGCCCCTCTCGCACATCTTAAAACAACTAGCAGGGTGTGGAGAAAAAGGAACTCTCCTGCACTGCTGGTGGGAATGCAAACTAGTACAACCACTATGGAAAACTAGTTCCTCAAACTGCTAAACATGGAGCTTCCTATGACCCAGCAATCCACTCCTAAATATCTACCCAAAAGACACAAAGATCTGATTGAAAAAGACACTTTCATCCCCATGTTTATTGCTGCTTTATTCATAATTGGGAAGACATGGAAACAGCCCAAATGCCCAAAAATGGTTGAGTGGATTTAAAAGATGTGGTACCTATACACAATGGAATATAACTCAGCAACTTAAAAAAAAAAAAAAAGGAACATGTCTTTTGCAGCAACATGGGTGGAGCTGGAAAAGATCATGTTTAGTGAAATAAGCTAGAAAGAAAAAATACTGGATGGTTTCTCTCATTAGCAGGAATATAACGGAACAGGCGAGAAAATAATGATTATGATGAACAGCTATATACCAGAGGCATTTTGTGGGGGTGGAGTGGGGAATGGGATCAAAAACAGTGGGGAGAGGGAAATGCACTGGACTATGGTGATGGCACAGGGTGATTTGGTGATCTGAAGCCCAAGGGGATTGCAAGTGACATGGAAAAATGCACAAAATAATGTAAAAATAAACTTATATTATAAAAAAATATTTTAAAAATTAATGTCCCACTAATTCATGTGGTGCAGCAGACCTTTCCTGTCACTTGCTGTTTACCTCAGTAGTGTATTTCTGTCCATCTGCCTGTTATGTTCTCCACTCTGTCTCTGGTGAATCCTTTTACCTCAGCATCTCTAGCCTATGCCCCACTTCTTGTATGTATAAAAAAAAATAAAAAAAAATCTTTTAAAAGATTACAATAAGGAAATGTCCCTCTAACTCATAAGTGCCACAGCTTTACTAAACTGTATGACTACACATCTCACTATCAGAGTAATGAACCTAGGATTTTATCATTATCCCAAATGACCAGAAATTCCCAAGTCTATAATTTGTTTTCATTTGTAAACTTATGTTTTGCCTACCATAACCCCCAAAGTCACAAAAATAGTTCAGTGAGACCTTGTAATGTGACATATAGTGAAGAAAATATTTCAACTGGGATGAATCAGCATACAAAATGAAGATGTAAATTATAAAATAAAAATAAATTTAAAATACCATATAAATAATGTAAAAATAAACTTTGTAATAAAAAATACAAAAAAATACCATATAAAAATTAACATTCACTTATGAATTAGAATTCTGAAAATAATTTTAGTATAACTTATCTCAGAGATACAATTTGATGTAAACACTGTGGCAGCTCCCAGAATTAGAACAAAGCATGACTAAAGCACAACTACCTATTAATTGTGCCTTCCTCATCTGTTTACACTTTCAGTCTGCATCTACAGTCAATCACTGAGAGATGCAATACCTGCTAAAATTTGACAGTATTACCCACATGAAGGTATCAACCATCAGAATCTCAGAAGTGATGCTGTGATTTGAGATAAAACCTAAGGTTTTGCACAAAATTACTTTTATCTTTCCTTTCTATGATGCTTCATTGGCAATCTGAATAAACGTGTGCAAACTGAAAGCCTCAATTAAACCTAACATTCAAGTGATCCCAAATCAGCTGCTTAAAAGGAAGAACACTAGAAAAGGAAGTCTCCAGCAATCCGAATGTCTGGGCCACCAAGTCCTCAACTGACCCCACAGACATTCTTTCATTGTCAGAAATATTCGCCTACATGAGCCATAGAAAAGCACAATCATATTTCTTCTGCCATTAGATGTAAAAATATTTTTTTACACTTGTAATCTGAATAGTTTCTATTTACTATGCCAGTAAAATGTCACTAATCTTAAGAAAAGCAGAAAAGCAAGGCCTGTCTAGCCAAAATGCCCATCCCTGAAAATTACAAATATTTAACAGTCATTACAATCATATCACTAAAGGGTTATTCCTAGGAACAGAAGTGATAGTGTCAAACACTTAGACAAGAAATACAGTAACAAATTCAGTATCCCATTCTTGTAATTAAAAACAAGATGGCAGGCCCTCCTTGGTGTTGCAGCGGGTTAAAGCACAGCACTAAAAAGCTTAAGCCACTTTCCATGAGTTCGATCCCCGCCTGCCCCAGAGGTGACCACATGCGCGGCAGACCTCTCCTGAACCACCCACTGCTCCCCTCAGCAGTGTATACTTCATCGATCTGCCTGTTCTGCTCCCCACTCTGTCTCTGGTGAAGCCTTTTACCCTCCACATCTCTGACCTGTACCCGTTCCATATGAATAAATCAATCTTAAAAAAAACAAAACAAAACAAGATGGCAAACTTTCTTAGAACTGTAGTGCCTGTCACAAAAAACCAAAATTGTTAAGTTAATACCATTCATACCATTCTAATGAAAATGCTGAAGCAGCAGATTAAATAGTGGCTCATAGAGAATTTGTTACTATTACATTTACAACAATTCTTCATTAACTCTTATAACTGACTATTATTCTAAGAGTCACCTATAACTTCATTACTAATTTTTATTATCAATTTTTTTGGTTTGTTCTTTTATCACTTTAAAAACCCATATGGGCAAAAATAGTTGACTTATTTCATAAATTCTAATCTTCATTTGTTAGTTCCATTATAACACTAGTTATGACTCATCATTTCTTTAAAATATTAGCTGCAATGTTCTTTTTGGCTATAAACACATAGTAAATTGAAGACAAGTGAGCTCTGACAATCTGAAGATATTTTTAAGAAAATTTATTAAAAACTTCCCAGTTATACATACCTTCCCCGGAGGTGACCACATGGTGTGGCAGACTTCTCCTGACCCAATGTTCCCTTCAGCAGTATACTTTGTCAATCTGCCTGTTCTAATCCCTACTCTGTCTCTGGTAAATCCTCTCACTGCCCCTGAACCTCTGACCTGTACCCCAGTTCTGTATACACAAATAAATAAATAAAAAAAAAAAATTCCCCAGTCTCACTTGGGCTTCCAAGGTAAACAGAAAACAAAATTGATACAAGTATTTTCCTGGGCCAAGAAACCAAATTCCTAAAGCAGCATTTCTTATTCTGGAAACTTCTTACCTGTGTCTTACAGTTTAGTTACAAGAATTAAAATGAAGTTATATTCTGAGCAACTTATTTGTCTTCAGAAGTTCATTAGCAGCAATCTCAACTTACAAACAAAATTTTTTATCATGTTCACCTGTTAAATAAATGATATAGCTAGAGTTACATACAGACAGGACAGAGATGCAAGCAAAACATAATGACATCAAAATGGAAGTGGCAGGGGACATTCGTGGGAAATAATCATACAACCAGCAAAATATTACTGCAAGAGATTAACTTTATATTTTCTTTAAAAAAATTCCAAGTGCCATAAGCACAAATGTAGAGAATAATCAAATTTTATCCTAATTTTGAAAATCCTACAAAAGAAATACATATAAAATCTAACTATAGAATCAATCACTATAAAAGACAATTCTCTCATTACTTACACAAATTATTACAAATTAACACTATGTCAAGAGACTCCCCCAAAATTTGACCTAGTTAATAAATTCAACTATGGTATTTCCCTAGGAATATTCACACTCTTTACAGAATATTTCAATAGCAATCATAACTAATCTATTAGCAATCCAAATATAAATTCTTAACACCTACCTCAGTTCTCATTCTCTTCCTGCTTCTTCCTTGGGGTAATCAGTATATTTTGAAAAACTTTGCTGCTTTAGTTTCTAAGTCACATATTCTTCATGGTCACTCAAATATAATTCACAATGGCCACTAAAAATACAAAGTTGGATATACATGCCCAATACTCAAAATGTTGATAGGCAAAAATGGAGACAGGAACAAAATGGTGGACTCTTTAAAATTCATCTGTTGTTTACAATGTTCGTTTTTGACAAAGCTTTAAAATTTCTATTGCAGAAAGCAAAAGCAATTCCCAAATCCCATTTTTCTAAACTGTACTGTCATCATTTTATCATGTTCAAGAAAATTTTCTATTCAATAATTTGTATACTTATTTCAGATTGTCAAGTAGCAGTGTACAAATATATAGATAATACTTTAGTATTTATCACATATAAACAAAATTTTCAAAAAGAATGTTAAAGTAATTAACCAGATTATATTTAAGTAAACATTATACTTAAGTAACATTAAGTAAACATTAACTCAATAATCATATCAATGATAACCCCATTTGTCAGAAATTATCATTAACATTTCAGAATAGCAGCAGCCTCTGGACCTAAACAATTAGCTATCATATGTTGAAAATAACATTTTCAATATCAACTTGAAACCAACCCTATGTCATAATTTTTTGGTAGTTAATAAATTTATGACAAATTGGTTGCTATGATTATCAACTACAATCATTATAAGCTTTCATTGTTATTAATTTTATATATCCAAGTTATGTTTTACGCTCAAATTTTAAGTTTTTTTATAAATTTAAGATCTGGTACAAATAAAAATCCAGCAGTAAGCTATATAATTTTGGAAATTTTATATACTTTGATTGTCATTGCCAAAATGTTCAAAAAATGATAATGTTCATTACGTTTTATTTTCATATACATCTTATATCTAGGTCACATTACATGAAATATATATGAATACAAAAATCAAACACAGCTATACTTGTGATATTAGTTTATATAAAAATTAACATTTTATACATAAAGTGGGCATCTTGAAATGTTTTTGACCTTAGAATTAACCTTGAAAATTCTATAATTTTCAAGGAAAAATGAAATTTAAAGCAATAGCTTAATGAGGAAAATGTAAAACCAATTTCATATGCTTAACATATATATGCATATGAATATTTACATATTCAGAGTACATTTAGCATAGCATAGCAAAATGCTTACTTTAGCAATGCCATTATCTTCAAAATGAATGCATCTGATTAAAAAGACAATTCCCTTTAGGTGTTCCTCTTGTAAAGACAAAAACATATACCAAGACAATCTGAATTTTTTATCAAGTATATTATAATCTTAGAGATGAGAATTAAAAATTTGAAGACATCTGGGCAATCTTTTCATTCTTTTCAAAAACAATGAACAAACACAGAAATGTTACATAGCTGTGAGACCAATTATTAATTACCTTTTAGTTGTAATGCAAAAACATTTCCAGAAGCCATTTTATGTTACCTTGCACTTAAACTTTTACAAACGTATACTTTGCAGGCTAGATTCATCTAGAAATAATAATTTCAAATGATTTGTCAATTACCAAACTGTCTTAAATAGTGTCATGCAATTTAATACAAAATTATATATGTCAAGACAGAATAAAATTTCTTATAAAGCACAATTCCTATGATTAAAATACATAATGTCCCATTAACAATACCCTATAAAAGTATGACTTTGGTTTTTCCAATGCAAAATACTTTAAAAGCACTTAACAAAGTTTAAAAATCTAAATTTTAAATGAGGATGTACACATGAAAATATCCTTTGCATTTTCTCCTTTTCTTAACAATTCAATAAACCAATTTTAAAATATGTATAGCTCAAGAAACAATTTTTCTCAATTTCATAAACACATTTGAAAGAAACAATGAAAAGGTGGTATTTTACAATGAATTATATACAAAATTATACTTCATGAGACTCCATACATCCAGAAATTTTAGATGTTAAAATTAAAAACCTTGTGTCTACCTACTATTTACAAAATTGTCTTGAATATTGTCATGCAACCAAGGGAACTTATACAGAATTGTATAGTTCCAAGAGGTAGTATAAAAGCCATTTTTAACAAAGTCACTTACATCATTATTACTAAAAACAAGCAAAAAAAAAAAGGCAAAATAAAATGAAGGGAATAATGAACAAGGAGACCACAGAGGAATCGAATGTTGTGTACTTATGCCATACAAAGGACACCTGGTCCCTCTAACACTTTTACAAGTACTAACTGTAGACCGCCAAGAGCTGACAGTAATTATATAAAGTGTGGACCTTGGTGTTTATGATAGTTCGTTTATTTTTCACAAATTGCAGAACTCTGCTGGGGAATGTTGATAGCGGAGATGGGGAGGTAGTGTGTATCAGAAAACTAGTGCAACTCATGCTCAATTTTCTGTGAAATTGAAACTTTTAACAAAAAGCAGTAGCATTAAATAAGTATTTCAGGAAATTTGGTATATCCAGAAACACCAAATGAATTCATAGGGCATATTTATAATGATACAATTCACACTTCATGCAGTGATGTTTTGTTTCTTCTCTTAAGCAAGTATAATTCCTGCATAGCTCCAAGACCCTGTTTATCAAGAACTGACATGCTGATTTCAATGTACTAACAAACAGTACTAAGAAATCTACAATGAGATATTTACAAAATTATACTTTGTGAGACTCTCAATACATCTAGGTACACTAGATGTTGTAAAACAAAACTATTTCAGCTACCCATTATTTACAAAGTTGTATTGGCTGCTCTAAGTAACAAGTGAAAATAGAAACAATTTAGGAGATTATATAAAATATACTGTGAATCATGAATCTCAGATAACCTGAAAAAGTAAAATATACCCACATGTCCCTTACGTAGGTTGAGGTATTTTCATATAAAATGGATTCAAACAATATTATAATTACAATATAAATTTTCTTCTAAATAAAAATGAGGTAAAAACACTTAATGACTCCATGTCTTTTGCAGCAAAACATGTACACAAAAATCATAGTTTAAGGTCTTAGCTCGTAATATGCTTTGAATAATTCTAGTAATTCAATGAAAACAACATGAAACTAAAATGGAAATATCAAATAGGAAATATCCAAAAGATTATTGCCTTCTATCATTCAGCTTATAAACAATTTTATATCTTTACAAAATAAAAAGAGTAAAGCTGCTACTATAAACACAACTGTTTAACAATAAAGCCCAATGAGCAACCCATACAGTTTCTATAATAAGCTACAGAAGTTAAACTATGAAAATTGATAATCTGACAACAGTATGAGTGCAATGCATATGTGCCCCAAACTGGTATAATCCAAAAAGAACAGCTATAAAGCACAAGTATATTACAGATGAGATCAGAAAACATCCACCATCGTAGTCCATATTCCAAACAACAAACCACTGAATACGCAGATAAAAGCTAATTGCTGTATTGGGGGAAAAGTTCATAATAATTAAATGTATAAGAATGTCTCTAGATAAAGAAAAAACAAGTAGTTAAAAGTAACTACATAAAACACAGCATTGTAGAAATCACATTCAATAATATATAAGCCTGGTGCACCACTTCAGTTCTAAAAGAAAAAAAAATCATATATGCTATTACTTTAGGTAAAATGCTTAAAATGATGGACTTCTTCACATCTGAAGTTAAATGATATTAAAAAGGTATGATCACATGTATAGCAATAGCTAGTAATTCCCACACATATAAAGCAAGAACACAGGTCTTCCTTAACAAAACAATGAAAGTATTTTCTAATAATGACCTAAACATTTCTTTTGATAATAGAGATTTTTCAAAGTTCAACATTGAAATAGTTATTTTATACATGTGTATGTCCATATATGTGGTGAGAATGTCTCTACACACCTAAGTTCAAATGTTACCCAAGTGTATTTATTAGGTTTATAATTACTACTTTATACCATTCATCTAGATTGAATTTTTAAAAATCATACAAATTGAAATACATACTATTAGAGATGGCAGTGATTCATAATAAATCTTATTAAAAACTTAAAAAAAATGGAAAATTGAAAATGAAGCCCAATTGTGATTCTATCACTAACTTTTCAATGAAAATATTTTCTAATAGTGACCTAAATTACATATCCTTTCCAAAGACATATATTTTATAAGGTGACATATCTTCTCATATGAAACAAACAGAATGCCATCAACCAAAATTTTCCAAATACACAGTGTATATGAAGCCAATTACCCAAAGTGTTTTTACCTTTGTCTGTCAGGTTAGTATTATCATTATGCCTATCAGCAAATCTTATGCTGAAGGAAAAAGTAAAAACATTTGTCTAGCATAAATGTAACAGCCTCAGATTACCCTCAACCAACATAATAAAACCCAAAACTGAAACTATATTAGCCCTACAAAAAAAAAAAAAAGCCACCAGAAATGTGTGGCAAAACCTTGTGAGTTTTCATTAAAATTATTTTGAACACATATACCCATCTGCATGTGTGTATATGTGTGTGTATATATATATACATGTATATATATGAATGTATGATTCATGTATACACACACACACCATTTTACCAATCACAATAAATTAGGGACTAAAAGTTTAAAGCAGAAATTATTACATATTATACATTGTAATTACAATCATGTAACAAAACACCCTTCAGCTGCCAAATTATTTACAAAGAGATAGTCTGACAACCATTAGTAGAAAGTAGGTATTGTACATAGAATTAATATATTTATAAAACATGCTGAAATACTAGAGCTTGTCTTTTAAAAAATGTAGTTGTGTTACTTATTTGTACAAAAATGCCAAAAATATTCCTTTGATCAACCCAAGATGTTGTGAGCTTGCTAACGTGCCACATAAAAAATTAGAAACTGCCTATTAACCTAAAAAAAAATTCCAAACAAGACTTCATTAAAATTGAAGTTTTTCTGGCAAATTAAAACTCTACTATCTTGTTGCTATCTTATCACATGTAGATTATATATATACACATGAATATGACATACAAATTGAGCATATTGAAACATCTTTTATCAGAAATGGTTCTTAGCCTTATAAACTGATAGTTACTTACAATGTCAATACATGTAGATTATTTAATGTTAAAAATAAATTGAACATTGTAATTTATAAAATGATAATATCTACCAGAAATGAATTATATCCACAGGCAATTTTACTTTTCCACTGGAGAAAGATGGATTAAAAAATTCTGGCTTTAAAATCAGAATATTAACAAAACAGAGTCCCATCATCTGATTTTTAAGAACTATCTGTTCACATCCACTATATATCCACAGCACCCTCCCCAAATTCCCTAGTCTCTTATCTCCTAAAGCAGTTCTTTACAAAGTTATCTAGAAACTTCAGCAATCAGAACTCCTAAACTAATTGAATGGTCCTAAGTATTAGTCATCTCTATACTCAATCAAAAAGAACAAATCACACAGTACTTTTCACTACTCTACACACATCAACGTGTTTTCTCAATTATAAACATGCATGTGTTCATAGTGGCTCGCCTTCTGTGCAAATAACCCATCACCATAAGAAAAACCTCATACCACACCAATTTTAACATAGATCACTAGGAAATGTCTTCTACATCAACAACCTTCATAAAACTTCTAATGACTAAAGATAACAAAAAATTCACCCCTCAATAAAACCCCACAGTGATAAAAGTGATATTAACATACATCAGTTTTGTTAAAAATTCTTTCATTGTAATGAAAATGTCATCAATTTCATTAAAGTCTTTGTTGGCAATCACAATTCATTAACTATCACAAAGAACTTTTGATAATTTCATATACAATATTATCAAGGTCCATATAACTAATCTTATGTGTATTCTGAATAAAGTATTAAAAACTTATTTTCAGTTACCCAAAAGCTCTGAAATTATGACTATAGAACTGTATAGTTTTACAAAGTGATCTGAAAATTCCTTTCTAAAATATTCTCCAGAAGACTACCCAAAAATGCTTTTAGAAGCTTTCTTATGAAGTTGGCTATGTCTTATCACAGCAACAATTTCACAAAGTAATTTTAAAAAGATTTGTTTGTAAATGTAGTCTTCTGTGCTACTAGCAGATTACAATAGGTATTGGGCAATAGTTTAAAATTTTATGTTTAATACCAATTCTTTTCATCTTAAAATCCAAATAAAAGGTTCATACATATTCAGTCACTATTTTACACTTTCATTTCCTTATTACCCAAAGACAACTTTCGAATTATTCCAACATTCTTATGCTGTTTTATGTCCAATAAAGAAATTCCTAGGATAATATGTGGAGCTGTTAAAAAATGCCAAGGGAAAAAAAAGATGTCTGTTTACTGCACATACAAATGAGCACGTATGCAGATCTTTTTGTGGCAAACCTTTAGAAGTCAGATTAATGTTCTGAAGTAAGAAAAACATTCTTGGTTTTTCTGTTTGTAAATACCAGAATTACCAGTAACAAGCAACTATTTGAAAAACAAGTTTAAGTTTCCAAATTTATTTTATCTAGTCTTTTCTAATTTGTTTAGTTTCTAGCTGAAATCAAAAAGTATTGCTGTTCCATTTCTATAAAAATATAGCTTCAGGGTTGGCTTCAGTTTACTTGTGCTTCTTCAGACAAGCGCAATTCTGCAAATTTTATCCTTCAGACATTTGTGGTAGAAATCTTAAATAGGAGTTGTCCTTGAAATGTTCATTTAACCAATTAAGTAGATCTGAGGCTTTACTATATGAGGTTCAGAGCAGTCCAGAAGAAAAAGTTCTCAGGATGCAACAGGAGTATTTTAAAATAATGTTGATTCATGCTACATGACT